GAGAATTCCGGTGGGAGACCCGATACAGCGCCCAGAGGGACCCCCTCATGGAGCCACACAGGGCGTCCCTCACTCCTCCAGCTAGGAGTCTTGGGACAGAGGCTGATACTGTCAACTAGGGAACTCCCAGTCTACAGCTACAGGGGTTTCTCTTGGGGAGGCAGGCATGGGCGCTCAGAGACCCAGAGGAAAGCAGGTGTTTGCCATGCATCGTGTGGGATCAACTATATAGGCCAACAGGTACCCACACAGCTCAGGGCCCTCAGTGGGCCAAGCACCTTCTCAGTCAAGAATATCAGGAGGCAGCCGGCCGCCCAATCCCTTCCTGGGAAGGAGCAGGCTCAGAGCAGCCCAGCTCAGCAACTCTTGAGTGTTGGCCCTTCTCCACAGGGATGGAAGCTGAGGGTAAACCTCTGTCCCTGCTGCCATTACCAGCAGCAAACACCCTTACCCGCAAACTGGGTTTATCAGGGCAGGAGTGGGACCAAGAAACATTGGTGTGCAGAAACGGTCTGCCCTGTGGTCTGATTTCTCTCATTTCTTCTTTTTTTTTTTTTTTTTTTTTAGTATTTAGTTTGAGAGAGAGGAGAAGGGAGAGACAGAGGGAATAGGCAGAGACAGAGTACAAGCAGGGGAGGAGGGCAGAGAGGAGGGAGAGGAAGACACAATCCAAAGCAGGCTCAGGCTCTGGATGTCAGGAGCCCGATACAAGGCTCAAACTCAGTTGTGAGACCATGACCCTGAAGGAAGGCAAAGAGTCGGACATTAACTGGCTAGACAGTCAGGTGCCCCTCTTCTTTATTTTTTTTTTAAGTTTATTTATTTGAGAAGAGAGAGAGAGAGAGAGAGAGACAGTCTTGATGAGAGAGAGAGAGAGAGAGAGAGAGAAAGGAGACAAGAGTGAGGAGAATCCCAAGTGGGAATCTCACAGTGTCAGCCAGAGCCCACGTCTTAGGGCTCAAAGGAGGTTTACCCTCAGCTTCCATCCGCCTGTGTGCGGAGAAGGGCTGACTCCGCAGTTGCTGAGTTGGGTTGCTCTGAGCCTGCTCCTTCCCAGGAAGGATTTTCATGGCCGGCTGCCTCCTGGGATATTCTGACTGAGAAGGGTGTTTGGCCCACTGAGGGCCCTGAGCTGTGTGGTACCTGTTGGCCTATATAGTTGATCCCAACAGTACGATTTATGGCAAACACCTGCTTTCCCTCTGGGTCTCTGGAGCGTCCATGCCTGCCTCCCCAAGAGAAACCCTGGGTTGTAGACTGGGGAGTTCCCTAGTTGACAGTATTTCGCCTCTGTCCTCAAGACTCCTAGCTGGAGGAGTGAGGACGTCCTGTGTGGCTCCATGAGGGGGTCCCTCTGGGCGCTGCACGGGTCTCCACCGGAATTCTCCTAGTGCCTTTCTCTGCTCTGCTGATTTTACGCTGGCCTTTCATTGTAACGAACTGCCTGAGTGTTGGAGTCCTAGTGAGTCATGGAGCCTGAGGGTGGTCTTGGCAACTCCAGTACAGCCTGTCGTGTCTGCTCTTCCCAGAGATGCACCCCGCCAAAGTTGTAGATAGAAACAAAATAAAGTCGGGATTCGATGGACCTGGCTTTGCCGACAAGTTTCTCTGTGACCTTGAGCACATTGCACTTCTGGCCCCAGTTTCTTCGGATGTAAAAATAAGATGACTGGAAGTTTAGATCCTTTTCCCCCTGGAGCCAAGCCCCTCTGCACCAGATCCTGCATCTGTCTGGTATAGAACTGGGAGACCATGTGTCTTCTGGGACTGAATTTACAGTGTTTCACTAGTAGTCACTTAGATTGTTTTTAATTTTCATTCATGTAAATGCTGTAGTAATTTGACCCAGACTTTCATAGAACCAGTTTCCAGCTGTGGCATTTATCAGATCAGTGCTGTTGATCAGTATTTCAGAAAGGTCATGTTTCTGACTGTGCTATTTGAAGTTGTCATTCCAGCACTGGCGAAGTCTGGGATTTTGCTGAACCTGAAGAGACACCGAAGTTCTGCTGATTGTGTGCATTGGGTGCCTGTGCTGTGTGCCCGTCCCTGCAGGATTTGCTTATACCTCCTCATCCGTAGCTCCTCTCTGGCAGAAAAGGCCAGGAAGGCTGGGAGTTCTAGGTCTGATGCAGTAAAGTGGAAAGAGATCACCAGTGATGATGTAGAAAAGTCTCATTCCGCTGCTGTTGTTGCCTCTAGAGATTTCAAGTAGTTAAGTGTCTCGATTGTGCAAATGCTGGATGTTGTGAACTCCTAACCCCAACCACTCACTAAAGCCAGAGTTTAAGCTTGTGGTTAACAGGACATAATTTCAATAAAGAAAACTCTTTGGAGAGAGTGAAAAGACAATATATTACCAGAGCAGAATGGGTTTTTTCCCCCTTGGAGAATGGAGGCAGATGCAGGTTCTTGACGGAATTTGTGTGCTTGGGAGTTAAGTGGAGAAATGGTAAGGCATCCTGATGGGGGCTATCTCTACAACCATGGATGGTTCTTTGGGCCATTGTCATTTGCTTAGGGTGGCTTCTTAAGGCTTCAGCCCTGCTCCCAAATTATAGGTGACAAAAGTGTATTAAATTTACGTGGGAAATCACATTTCTGTATTCTTTAGTTCTTTAAGATGAAATTGAGGCAGGACACCTAGAAGTCTAGGGAAAAATCCGACAGGCAAGCTTTTGCAAGATGACCGGTTCTAACGTTCAAACATGCTGCTGTCTGGGAGAAGCAGATGGGAGTGTTTGAAATTGTAGGTGGCCCTGAAACCTGGGCTGGAGGGTTATGGAGTTGTAGGGCTTGTGAAAAAAGTCTACCTTTATAATGTACCCCCTGTTTTTAGTGAGTGTGTTAAATTGATTATTTGCATTGTATTTTCTTACAGAAAACTGTTTTAGAGACCACTTAAGAGTTTCAGGCTGACGCTCAGGTGCATTTAGTGCTTAACACAGCTGAGATATTAAATGTGTGCATGTTGCAGTGTTGCAGCTTCATTGTGGGTTACTGAGCTTTTTATGTTTAGTCTGAGAACCAGGCCGCAAGACCTGTTGGCTGTCGTTACCCCTTGGATTCTGTGCAGAGTCGGGCCCCGTTTGGGTAAGAAGGATGAGCAGGGTACCAAGAGGTTGCCTCCTCCGCCTTCCCCTTGCGCAATAGCCCCGCAGGAAACCTGTGGGTCTCCGTCCTCGACTCAGCGCGTGGTGACCTGTTGCTCTCCGGAGCCTGGGACCCGTGCCGTCCGCAGAATCCCCCAGCGTGGCTGCCAGTCCCCATGGGCCACCTCAGGGATGCGCCTTCCCTGGGCACCCCACGTGTGCCTTTCCAGGTGGCACCTGGCTTTCACCACAACAGGTGCTCGCGTTTGCACACGAGTCAACTGTCGCACTTGTGTTGCTTTTGTTTCAAACTTGTTTGGCCGAGTCATTTGCGAGACGGCTCGTGAGGCTTCTGCTCACAGTCAGGATAGCCTGCGGGGGCTGCCGTCACCTTCACGGATTGAGAGCGCATCGCATCGGCCTGTAGCAGAGGTGAAGGGAAGACAAAGGAAAAGTGAATCAGGAAAAGGCTTCAGTAGGTGCATTAGGTTCCCTGGGCTTCTAGTCCGTGGTGGGCTGTCTCCTGTGGAAACAGCAGGTCGCTGCCTGCAGCAGCTAGCTGGGAGGGAGGGAAAAACAAATGAGGTGAGGAAGTGACACTCTCTGTCTTTAGAACTTTCTTTTCTGTTGCGTTCTCTGTAACATAGTTTTATCATACGGGTTTTCAATAACGTGCCCTAATAGCTTCGTATACAGTCTTCTGCCCGCTCTGCCCACCCCACGAACGTCTGTGAAGCCTGCAGAAGATGCTTATCCAACCCCGATGTGCCAGGCACAGGGACAGGTGTGCCCCTGCCTTCAGGGGAAGAGCAGCCTTCACCGAGTAGTTACGGTGGCGCTTGTGCCAAAGGGGAAGCTCGAACCTGCGCTGATAGAGCTGACAGATTTAGCTTAGGGGCTGGGGGGACGTGGGGCGCTCAGGGAGGGCTTTCCTGAGGACGCGTTTTTCCTGTGGCTTAAAGGAGAGGTGAAGGTGAAGGACGTGCGTGTGTTGGGAGGCACACCCCGGGACTGGAGAGGCGCGTGCGTGAGCCCTGAGGTGGGCAGGCACAGCCTTTGGGCGCCACAGCGGGAAAGCCCAGCGTGGAGGACGGTTCCCTTTGGAACCATAGTTCTGAGCGAAAGGTCACGATGTGAGGTCAGGGGGTGGGTCTCTGTGAGAAACACGGAGTTTTATACAGAGAGGGAAATATAAGGTGTTTCCATACAAGTGGGGTGTGGGGAGAGGCCCTGCTTTCCCTCCACATTAAAAACACTTTTTTTCCTTGTTTTTAGTTAGTGTAAAAATTGGTAATGGTATAAGCCACTCTGAAAACAGATTTTGGGGCGTAAAGGTATCTAGTGAACATTTCATTATCAGTTGATAAACCGTTCTGTCAGATTCAGCAGTCTCTTTATGACAAATATTTGGTAATATCCCCATTACTATATGGAAGTGGATCCTAGGGTGCCATAGTCTGCTTTTTCACACTCGCAAGGAAAATAACGTGCAATCTTAGGAGAAGACTTTAAGGCATGGTTGTATGGTATGTTTTTCAGTATACCTCTCAACTTACCTGGTGGCTGAACGCCTGGAAAACTGAGCGTATATTAAAATACTCTAAAGCCGTATCTTGTTTACACAGTAAAGTACCCAGCTTCACGTCATTATAAACAGCTTGGAATGTGCGTCTGTTGGGGCCAAGGGACTCCTGCACAGTGTGGGATGGGACCCCAACCGTGACGTGCTTACAGCCCCCCGTGGTCATGGCAACCAGAAATGTCCCCTGGGGGCAGTGTCCCTGCCGAGAAGTGTGGTGCCAGGGTCTTCCCGTGACCCCCAAGTTACTTTTGTTAGGTTCAGATGGTACAGATTCGAAGCCTAGAGCTTGCTGGCGTCTGACTGTCATTCCTGTCGCTTATTTTCAGGCACGTGGACTCCATTTAATCCAGTGACTGTCAGGTCAATCATATGTAAGTAAAGGTGCTGTTGTCCCGCCTGTGCAGGCAGGCACCTGTCCTGCTTCATCCTGCCCTCCCGGCTGAGCACTGAGCTCATTGTCTGACGTGTCCTTTCACATCCCGGTTCTGAAGAGTTCAAGTACCCACAGGACCGGCACGCTTCACACACCGTCCGTATCTGGCACGATTGTTGACTGGCGGAAACACCCGATACTCAGTTTTTGACCTGATTTTTCATTCTGTGCGCTTTCACTGAATTATAGTGTACTTCTGAGCAGCCAAGAGCGCTCATGTTTCAATCTTCCATTAGCGTCCCTTCCTGAAAAGAAACCAAATGATTTGTCATTTTCTCAGCAGTAGTTCAGACTGAGTTCATATATATGTTTTTAGCCATTTTGCAATTACATGGAGATGTAGTTGTAGGTTCTTTCATATTTGGACCCGGAATTAGGCTGGTTTTTTTTTTTTGTTTTTTTAATGAAAAGCAAGTCTTCCTAAGAGAAAACACCTAAAGCCGATAGAGTCGTCTTGTCACTGGGGTGGGCCTGCGCTGGTGGGCGTAGGTCCTCTGGGAGAATGGAAGTGGCGGTGCCCGGAGTTGGGCCCAGTTCTGGGAACTGAGAGGGTGGAGGGGCTCCTTCATTCTGCACTTTGCTTTCTTCCTGGCAAAGTGAGAGTATCCACCAGGCGCCGTGTCTTTGTAGCCTGCTTCGCTGTGAAGCGTTATTTCTGCTGTGGCTCTGCCCGTGTTTTCTTGCCCTTCCCTCTTTACCGTGTGCCTCACGTCTGTCTAACGTGGCTTAGGGGCTGTGGCTGGAGAGCCAGCCGGCAGAGGTGGTCTGGCCCTCCCAGTCAACGAGCGAGCATTTCTTGGCCGTGGGCACCTGCTGGCCGAGCACCGGCCTGACCCCGAGGCGGGTGTGGCTGTGGCTGTGCTGTGGTCGAGCTGCTTGCTGATGACCGACGAGATGCCAGCTGCTGCACACCACTCACGTTCCTTTCTGTCTTAGCTATGTTCGACCGAGAGAACAAGGCTGGCGTGAACTTCAGCGAGTTCACTGGCGTCTGGAAGTACATCACAGACTGGCAGAACGTCTTCCGCACCTATGACAGGGACAACTCTGGGATGATTGACAAGAACGAGCTCAAGCAAGCCCTCTCAGGTTTTGGTAATTCACTTATCTTGATTGTATAGCATGTTTCATTTTGGAACCTAGGTGCCATTAATGTTTTTTTACTTGGTTCATTTTACTGATTTTTTTAACTATGACTTTTTTTGGCATACAGATTTATACTTTGATACTTTTTATATCATGAAGGCTTATATTTGACCTGAAGACTTTCATGTGGGTTTTTTTCGCATCCAAAATGAGATAAGGGCTATGCAATCATTTCTCACTTGTGAAATGTAGTGATGTCTGACTCACATTGAGAATGAGGCAGCTTTGGAAACAGTTTAACGTGAATAAGTGAAAAGAAAATGTCGAGCAGCTCATATTTCTTGATATATCACAACACGTGGCAGGATGATCCAGACACTCGTCAGAGATGATTCTGTAAGCTGCAGACACAGTGTCGGCAGGCACGCAAGTGCCCGTTCTCAAGTGCGTGCAGGCTCAAGTGTGCTGTGCTGCTGGGAGTGTTCACACGGCCTTCCAGAGTGGGTCAGTGGGCCCTCTGATGCGGGGGTGTGGGTCTGAGAGGAAGGTGGGATTTCTGGTGTGTGGGCTATGCAGACATGGGGTATTTGTCCGGGGCTTGTGGGAGTCTCACCCAGAGTCTGGTGTGTTTGGGATGGTCTCACTCAGCCCTGTGTTCACTGGGCCCCTGTTACAAAACCCCTTCTATATTTTGCTTAAAAGTCTGCTTATAAATGCCAGCTAGAAAAAAAATAAGGCAAGTTTGTTTATAATGTACTATTTTTTTTTTTTTTAATAATATACTGTTACGGGTTGCCTGGGTGGCTCAGTCGGTTGAGTGTCCAACTTCAGCTCAGGTCATGGTCTTGCGGTTTGTGGGTTCGAGCCCAGCGTCGGGCTCTGTGCTAACAGCTCAGAGCCTGGAGCCTGCTTCAGATTTTGTCTCTCTCTCTCTCTCTCTCTCCCCCTCCCTCCCTCCCTCCCCCCCCATGCTCTGCCTCTCTCTGTCTCTCAAAAATAAATAAGTGTTAAAAAAAATTTTTTTAAGTTAAAGTTATAATAATATACTGTCATAACGTATAACGTACTTCTAGGTATTTTGAGTTTTAATAATACAAAGGACATTTTTAGTTCTTATGTTAATGTATTATTAACTTCTGTCCTTCCCCCATTTTTCCTTTGGGCACATACTTCATGGCTGTCTTTCTCTTTCTCTTAGTTTGTTGCCTTATGAATTCTGGTGGTATTCAGTTAGAGGCCCTGGGAATCCATAGCACGTTTGTGTTCTCAGCTCACTGGGTGTGGGTCAGGGTTAGGGCAGGACTTGACCTCAGGTTCTCTGCATTGGGACTGGGAATGCTTCTGACTTTTCTCTACCTATAGGTTGGGGAGAAGGGCAGGCCGAATGGAAGATCTGGGAGGGGTGGCTGTCAGCTGTCCACAGATGGTGGTCCTGGGGCTGCAGGTAGCTGGAGGCCCGGCTGGGCTGAGGACAGCTTGGGAGGAACCTGCATCCTGTTAATTACTTCCAGACAAGTGACTTTAGGTGTCAGGGAACGTGGCATTTTCTAAAGTTGTCAGGCCCAGAGCCCTCTTTTTACTCAGTGCCGGTGTCCAATGGGTCCTTGGAGCTCACAGTGGGAATGCTAGGGTGGGCCGTGCCACTGGCCTCTCTGACCTCCGAGTGCCCATCAGGCCCTGGCATCTGCAGCCATGGCTGCATGGTCACAGAGGTCATGTGGCACTTCCTTGTGGTAAGGAGCCAGCAGGCCCTCTTGGTCTGGGCAGGGCCGGGCTCCTTCCTGACTTCTGAGCGCTTTCTGGAGAAAAGTATTCTGTGGTGCATTGTAGTTATTCTAAAAGCTTCTCCCTGTAGTTGGTTCTTGATTTCTGAGAGCCTGCTCTGGATCCATGCCTTCTATGAAAAGGAACATTGTTCTCCTTTTCACATAGTCATCACTTTGGAAGATTTTCTGTAGTAACTGAAGCAAAGTCTGTTCAGTTTTGACTCCTAAGGACAGCTCTCTTGCCCTGCTCAAACAGGGGGGCTGCATTTCAGCTCTGCATGTGTGTGAGGGAGTCTGGGGGTGGGGGACAAGCCCCACAGCGTCCTCTGACCTCTGTCAGCTCCACTTGATGTCTCAGGCTGGTCCTGGTGGCACTGGGTCACCCTCACAGGACCCACGCTGGGTATGATGGCTCACACATCCCTTTTGTAAACCCATTTCTAGTATGTGCTATGCGCCAGGTACAGAGACCTGGAAATAAAGAGGTGTGTGGGGCATGGCCCTCACACTCCTGCTAGCGGGGAGCTGACCGCTCCACAGTGGGAGTCTGCTCACGTGCGGGGTGGTCCTCCCCTGTGGGCAGGACAGCGGGCACGGGGCTGCTTCCTCTCCCTCCGCCCAGCGTTTTTTGGTGAAAAGGTTATGAAAGTTATCAAGTGTCAGGACCCTCCATTCAGTCGTCACCCATCCCAGCCGCTACCATTTTCATGCTGCATTTGCTCTGTCCCCTGTTGTGTGCCAAGGCTGACGGGGCCTGTGCACCGTGGTCCCAGCACACTTCATTCAGCAGCGTTTCCCTGGGGCGTGTGCACTACGTCCACGAAATCCGCACCATTGACCCACCTTAGAGGTTAACCGTCCATTTGTGTGAGTTAGGGTCCCAGCAGGTCCACAGGCAGCCCCCACCCCTTTTTCATGCCATTGGCTGGTTGTAAACATGGGTCTGTCCCTTGCCGCAGTCTCTGTCCCCTGGAGAGTAGTTACTGAAGGTATGCTGTCATGCCAGGCTGCTGAGAATAGGTGATGTGGGGTCTTCAGGGTAGCTCTGATGTCTCACCCCTCCTGCGCCTGTTAGTTCTAAGGAGAGAACTTCATTCTCTTAAGGTCAGGGTGTGGCCCTGTGGTCAGTGTGTCAGGTCTGAAAGGGCCCAGTCCTGACCAGGGTCACAGGCTGGGGCTGCACATGGAGAGCACCCTTTTTTTTTTTTTTTCATTTTATTTAAGTATAGTTGACAATGTCGTGTTAGTTTCACGTGTACAACATAGAGATTCGACAACACTGTACATTACACGATCTGAGTCACCATGCAGTGTTCTGACAGTACAATTGACTATGTTCCCTATGTTATACTTTTCATTTCCTGACTCACTTATTTTATAATCTGAAGTTTGTGCTTTTTAATCCCCTTCACCTATGTCACCCACCCACCCTCACCTCCTCCTCTTTGGCCACTACCAGTTCTCTGTAGTTATGAGTCTGTTTCTGTTTTGTTTGCTCATTTGTTTTATTTTTAGATTCCACATATAAGTGAAATCATTTGGTGTTTGTTTTTCTCTGCCTTATTTCTCTGAGCGTGATACCCTCTAGGTCCATCCATACTGTGACACATGGCAAGGTCCCATCCTTTTTCATGGCCGCATAATATTTGTGTGTGTGTGTGTGTGTGTGCGCGCACGCGCACGCACGTGTGCACACACCACATCTTTATCCATCTTTCGATGACCACAGGCTACTTCCATATCCTGGCTACTGTAAATAATGCTGTAATAAACACAGGCACGTTTATATATTTTTGAATTAGTGTTTTCATTTCCTTTGGGTAGATACCCAGTAGTGGAATTGTTGAATCATAGGATAGTTCTGTTTTTCACTTTGTGAGGAACCTCCATACTGTCTTTTAGAGCAGCCGCACCAGTTTGCATTCCCAGCGACAGGTGCAGGAGGGTTCCCCTTTCTCCACATCCTTGCCAACACCTCTTGTTTCCAGTCTTTTTGATACCAGCCATTCTAACAGGTGTGAGGTCATCTCGTTGTTCTGATTTGCATTTCCACAGGGCACCTCCTCTTAATTTATGAGAGTGGGGTTATCACTGTGTGGGTTTTCACTGAAGGAAATTCTTCGGGAACAGTCTGCTCCCAAATTTTGCCTCTTATAGAAACATCCTTTTTATAGTTTCTTTGTTCATCATCCGTTTTTCTGGTCTGACTTCCATTGGTTTTGTTCTCACTGCAATACTATTGAAGAGCAGGGAAATTGGAAGTTAGTCCCAGGGATGATAGAAGTTGCTTCCATTTTCTGTACAGATTGTGGAGATCCAGCTTGTATGTTTGTGACTAGGCCGGAGAGCGGCACCGCAGTGGCCATCATCTGCTGTCCACACCCTGGATGAGCTCAACCCTCACTAGCTTGGACCTCTTATTGCCCAAAGGCACAGGTGCCAAGTGTGAAGAGAGGAGACTCGTAGGGGTCAGGGGGAGTGGTTCCCATTCAGTACCTGCTGTCTCTGTTTTCTAAGTCATGGGTCCTGTTTTCTAATCAACTGGCAGGGAAGGGGGGCCCTGGATTTAAGTCACAGACGCATAGAGTATGCTGACCACTCTGGAAGGGTGCTGTCATGTGTGTGCATGTTTGAATTATTTTGAGAAAAGTAAGTGCTTTTGCAGGTAATTAACTGTGAAATTCACTCAGATAATAGGTGTATATATATCCTCGCAAAGATTCCAACAGGACCGAAACCAGTAAAAGTATTTTGGCCCCTGGATCTTCTCTCCTGAATAAGTAAGGACACCAGAGGCACACAGGTAGTGGGATTAGTAGGGAAGGAAGTAGATGTCTTCATTTAGAGCGGCCCCGAGGGGTATCCCACAGGCACATGGCCGTTGTGTCTCTCTGTCTTTAAAACCACCTCCCTGCTGGTGACCTCTTCAAGACCTATTCAGTAAATTGGAGGTGGAATCAGTGACTCTTCGTCATAACATCTGATGGCCCTCAAGTTGTTATGAACCTTGTGAGGCTGCCTTACTCCATATAATCTTTTACTGCCTAATGTCTGTGCTACTTGATGAATAGGAGTACCTATCAGTTAATCTGCTGCTTCCCTAAGTTTACATTTTGTTTATTTGGAAGCTTTCAGTGATGTTTTATCGTTCAAATCTAAAATGAAACTTACCGTTTGTAAAATGATAACTTCACTGTATTCAGGGAATGAAGCTTTGGCCGCCCTGCAGGGTGATTTTTGGGGTGCAGCACAGTAGGGTGAGTATACTTGATGGGAACTAGTGAGCACACGTAAATGACCTGCTGTGCCTGACAGCTCTGGCCTCCGGGTTACGCTCACCCTTCCAGGAAGAAGCGGTGGTCCTCAGGTCAGCCACTCACAGGACTGCAGATGGGGAGTCGTGGGAGGGATCGCAGAATGATGGCTTCGTTCCTAGAGTGCATGTGAATGCATTTGCGCCTTGTGTTTCCACCCCCAGCCTCGGCCATTTGTTATCAGCTGCTGTAAGAGGCTGTGGGGCCTTTTGGAAGGAGAATGTGGGTGTTGACGGGAATGTCTGCTCTCCTGGCCCTCTCTTCACTCTCTGTTTTCTCTTCAAGGGTACCGGCTCTCTGACCAGTTTCACGACATCCTCATTCGCAAGTTTGACAGACAAGGGCGGGGGCAGATCGCGTTTGATGACTTCATCCAGGGCTGCATCGTCTTGCAGGTAATTGGGGCTCCGTGGAGGCTCACAGTGAGCTGAGCTGTGGAGCAGGACGGGACTGTCTGTGAAAGCAGAGGTAAAGGGAAGTACCTGCATTCTGGAATTTGCAGTTTAATTTTTTTTTTTTTTTTTTTAACGTTTATTTATTTTTGAGACAGAGAGAGACAGAGCATGAACAGGGGAGGGTCAGAGAGAGGGAGACACAGAATCTGAAACAGGCTCCGGGCTCTGAGCTGTCAGCACAGGGGCCCGATGCGGGGCTCGAACTCACGGACCGCAAGATCATGACCTGAGCCGAAATCGGTGCTCAACTGACTGAGCCACCCAGGCGCCCCTGGAATTTGCAGTTTAACGGAGTAAGATCAGTTTCTGGAGCTTATAAAAGTTTGTCTTGTCTGTGGAGAAGCAGTTATTCTGTTAGGTGGCGGTATGGCCCAGTAGTGCACTGTGTCCCTGTGGAGACCCTGTGCAGGTCCATTCGTTTGCAGACTGTTTTTGATAAATACGGTGTAGGGCTGTAAATGTATTTTCCTTATGGTTTTCCTAATCACTTTTTCTTTTCCTAGCTTAGTTTACACAATACGTACGCAAGGTATGTGTGAATTGGCTGTTATTGGTAAGGCGTCTGGTCAGCAGCAGGCTATTGGTAGTTAACGTTTTGGGGCATCAGAGTTCCATGTGGATTTCGACTGCTCCAGGGCCTGTTGCCCCCAACCCCCACATTTTTTTGCGGGGGGCTCAGCTGTATTAGCAGTCCATTCGGATGAGGTCATGTCTTCCAAATCCAGTGGGTTATTTACGTGTTCTCTGGTACTTTTGTTGTGTTTTCATTCTGAGGAAGAGGATAAATTTTCCATTTTGATCTTTACTGTGCCCTCCCTTTTTGAGTGAGGTCAGCTGCAGGGGCAAGAGCCAGCTCCTGAGCACACGGGCCTTGTTCCCATGTTGCGGCCACTGCCAGCCAGCATCTGGTGGAGCCCGTGGAACCCACTCACCCCGTGCTTGGTGTTTCCCTCCTGTGGCCTTGCTTCTTGAGCTGGGAGAGAAACTGGTGCGGAGGTTGAGGACCCTTTCCAGAGACCGAGGGCAGGAGTGCCCGGGTCTGCCCTGCTGTGCCCACACAGTCCCCGCTGCTCCTGTCTCTAGGTGAGGATCCAGGTTACGTAGATTGAGGCTGAGAAATGCAGTGGACCAGGGATGCCTGGCTGGCTCAGTCGGGAAGCATCTGACTCCGGCTCAGGTCATGATCTCACGGCTCGTGAATTCGAGCCTCGCATTGGGCTCTCTGCTGTCAACGCAGAGCCCACTTCAGATCCTCTGTCTCCCTCTTTCTCACAAAAATAAGCAAACATTAGGGGCACCTGGGTGGCTCAGTCGGTTAAGCATCTGACTCCGGCTCAGGTCATGATCTCACAGTTCCTGGGTTCCAGTCCGGCTTCACGTGATCCCTGCTTCTCTCCCTCCCTCTCTGCCCCTTGCTCACTTGTGTGTGTGCTCTTTTTCTCTCTCTCAAAATAAACAAACAAACATTAAAATTTTTTAAAAAACTGCAGTGAACTGATAAACCCATAGATAGCTTTTAAAGTTTTATTGTGACAAATGAAAAAAAAGTAACAGAGACAACAGTGTGATGAACCCATGTGCCCCTCACTCAGACTCAACAGTTAGCAGCTGATGGACAGCTTGATGTCATACCTGCATAACTGTAACACTCCCCCCACCCCTTACTCTGAAGCAGATTTGGGCCATGGAAAGCAACTGTTTTATCTGTACATATTTCAGTAGGACTTGCAACTAGACAATGAGTCCTGGTAGCTTATAATTTTTTTTTTTTAATTTTAACATTCTTATTTATTTTTGAGAGACAAGACAGAGCGCCATCAGGGGAGGGGCAGAGAGAGAGAGAGAGAGAGAGAGACAAGGAATCCAAAGCAGGATCCAGGCTCCGAGCTGTCAGCACAGAACTGGACGCTGGGCTCCAACCCACGAACCGTGACATCATGACCTGAGCCAAAGTCTGACGCTTAACCGACTGAGCCACCCATGCACCCCTGATCCTTGTAGTTTGAATTCCGGTCGGGTTATGTCATATCAGCTCTAGAGGCCGCTGAGAAATGTCAACACTGTGAGGTTTTTAAATATAATTTGGAATTTTGGGAAACATTCTCTGGGTTTTTTTTCCCATTAGAATTCTAGATCAGTAAAAGTGAAGTTTCTGTGGCATGCTAAGTGCAGCACTCCGTGACTTCCTTGCCGATGAGGCAGGGAAAAGCCCCATCCCTGTTCAGGACCTTGTTGGAGAGCTGGGTCTGCTGACATTTGAGCTGTGGCTCTCTGAAATGGGGAGAGCCTTACCCCATCTCTGCCTCAGGATTTGGTGAGGCTGGGTTACACTTCTTTTGCAGTGTTGTCTGGACACTTAAAAAGGTGTAATGTAAAAATCTCCTTATTCTCTGCATCTGAACTGCTCTAGGGTTAGACTTTTCATTTGAGGTTCTGTCCCATAAGTAAACATCTGATCCTTATATTTCTTCTTGAGCAAAGGTCATTTCGTGTAGGGTTTCAGTAGCTGGGGTAATGTGATCTGAGTCCCACAGGGAGCTCGCCCAGCGCCTCCATACACCTGTGGGCTGAGGACAGGCCAGCCGGGCTCTCCTGCGGCCCCTGCCTCTGGGCCCCATGCTGACCTGGACTTCTGCTCCCACCCACACTTCCCACATGACCTCAAACATGGGGCAGAGGTGGGCAAGCTACAAGAAAAAAGTCCTGAAAAATGTCTTCCATCTGCCTTTTTCCAGAAAGAAAAAGGCTTTTAGAAAATTAGTTTTACAAAAGAACATGAAAATTTGTAGAAATCTTGGGAAAATACAATTAAAGTATAAAGAAAGATTTCCAGTTGTTCTTCAGGCCGGGATTAACTGCTGCTGGTGTTATTGGAGTTGGTTTCACATTAGCGTCTCACCCGTGTTCAGATGCTCCTGGCCACCACCCGAGTGGACAGTCAACTGTGTCAGGAGCCCCTGTTATTGTCAGCCATTTAATCTGCCGCAGCACCCGAGGGCCGGGCTCCAGCCTGCTGTCGTGACGAACCCGTGTGTTGTTTCCTTTTCTCGTCCTGAGGAATTGTACTATGCCTGCTTCCTTTTGTCATTTACAATTCCTTAGGCCTTTTGTGGTTGTCCAGCTGTCATCTGGAACAGCACTCCTCTATTTGTCTCTGCTTTGGGGGGCAGGGGTCTCCCCTCTGCTCCTGACCTGCCGTGGGGAAGTCAGGCTTGTGCACAGACTAAGGTGGAGCCTTCTGGGTGGGGTGTGCGTGAGGGACCCTCAGGCTGGTACAGGGAGACCTGCCTTCTGTGCTCTGTGGCTGAGGCTTCCTTTATCTGTTGGGAGCAGGTTGTAAGCGAGGGGCTCAAGTCAGGGCCGGTTTCCCTGTGTCCTGAATGGCAAGTGACCAGAGCCGAGGTAAACATTTGAGTAACCCCCACGAGGTTGGTCATAGAGCAGGGGGGGAGGACCCAGGTTTACCACTGGCCCACTTGGGGAACCAAGGCCTGGACCCAGGGCTGTTGTGTATAGCCTGCAACCCACCCCTTGATCTCTTAACCACCTTCCTGTATCCACCCTCCCACCTGACCTCGGCATCCCCCATGGTGGACAGGCCTGAGAGGGTGGTCAGGGTTACCCACCCATGCCTCGCTGCCCTGGTCTCCGTCAGAGTTGGGGTCGTCTGGAGACATGGATTAATTTGGGTTCCTAAATTTTTTGTTTTGTTTTGTTTTTTACCAAATAACATTTTGTTCTTTCTGTTAAAAAAATATCAAGATCTAAATGACTGTTGTTTCTTCCCCAGAGGTTGACAGATATATTCAGGCGTTACGATACGGATCAGGACGGCTGGATTCAGGTGTCATATGAACAGTATCTGTCCATGGTCTTCAGCATCGTATGACTCTGACCTGTGCAAATAACAGCATGACTTACGGAAGGAAGACTAAAAATGCCAAATCACCCTTTAAAGAAACGGAACACAAATGCAGCTAGATACTGTTCTTTCTTTAGATTTTATATAATTAACATTTGGGGACCTGACTGTACATATGTGGATAAGCTGATTAAGATTTTTGCAAATGTAACAATAGTTATAACTCACATACAAACATTTGATTTGAGACTATTCAATTGTGCCATGAGGTAAGATATAATAATGTTTCAAGTGTCTTGCATGCAAAAAATTCATCATGTGCATTTCTAGATAGCTCCAGTTCTATAGTGGAAATACTTTTATTAGCCAATAAGAATTTAAAAATAATAGAGAACTTGCACAGAGGCTTTTATGTGCCTTACATTTTTAAAACAGGGTTTATTGTATTTGTTTGAATATGCAACGTAAGCAATAAAGCAAATGCGCACCCGGTCCCAGACGGCTCAGATATACTCACGTGGGAGCTCCCAGAGGTCCAGGACCCTTTCTGGGGCGTCCACCTGACTCTGCTAACGGAATCCAAGGAGACACTGTCCTCTGTGACAGGAGTTAGTTTAAATTTCATAAAACTTCTTTGGACGTAGAAATCCAAATTTGGTCTGGAAGCATGTGGGTTTCTGTCACTTACAGTGATTCAGGATCTGTTAACTGTGGTTTTTGAACATGAAAGCGGGGTGCAGACAGCTGGGATGGTCGCCCACGTCACCTGCTGTCGGCACCCGGCCATTCCCGGGGGGCCCTCATCCTGCGCCTTTCAGAGGCCTCGGAGCCTGCTTTCTGCCCCTTCCCTGTAAGTGTGCTGTTCCAAGCCAGAATTTGGGGTGGGGGTTGTGAAGACATTCAGATGGGCAGTAGTGATTTATAAATGGGTCTGGGACATCAGAAGTTGGTGTCCCACAGGGGTATGTTGGGGGCTCGTGTTGGTTAAGAGGGGGCCCTTTTTGGGTTTTTCTGTGGCACCAGATTGCAGAGGTCAGAACACCACTGACCACAATATGTGGGGTTGGGCTAAAGAATCTCTGGGGCTCATAGACTGGCCTTGTGAGCTCAGGGTGGGTAGCAGGGTCTTTGGGATTTCTACCACTTTCCATGTTGGGTGCCTCTCCGGACATCAACATGCTCATGGTGCAGCACCAGCACACAACCCCAGGTTCTGTTTCAGTCAGCTCAGTCCTCTGACCCCAAACTCCTGACTCCAAGAGGCTTTCAGACCCATGGCCCACACATCAAGGTGTTCTCTCTCTGGGTTCTCGTAGACATCTTGGACTCCGTATCTCCCAGCTAATAAACCCTATGCCCTCACTCCCCAGCCACGGGGTAACCTCTGCTGCCT